CCCCTCCCCTTGTTCAGCTGCTTGTACACTGTTCTTTCCTGTTAGGATACTCTTCCTTTCCTCTGCCCTCTGCMCGCTGCCCTATACCTTGTTCTCACTTATTCTTTCTGTCTCAGTAGAGATGTCAGCTTCTCTGTGAAGTAATCCTGATTTGTCTTAACCATCATTTGTAATAGTATGTCTGCTTTATGCCTCTACCACACTGTCTAATTTATTGTATCATAGCTTTGTTTTGTATTTTGGTTAAAAAGGATTCTCTAATTCTTTCAGGTATTTTGTTTATTATTGGCCTTTTGTTTTTGTGTTTAAATTTAGAGCCAGTTTATTAAATTGTTAAATATTTGATTATTTATTCGAGTTGCTTTGCATAGTTTTATCAATTTTAGGGGAGAATTGATGTCTTTTAAGATACTGAGCTTTTAGTCACTGAACATAGCATAACTTCTTTTTTTTTCTTTTTTGTTTTCTTTCATGTCTTCCAGTAAATTTTCATATTGCTTTCCATGACGGTTCACATATCTATATTGTACTTGTGACTTTAAACAGGAGCCATTAAAGTAAATCCCACAAGACAAAAATCTTCGTACCATCTGTTTTTATAAGGCCCATGATATAAGAATGCTAAGAATTTTATAATTGATTGGAAAAAATTAAAATGTATATGAAATGTAAAGAGTATATGAAAATTAATTTATGTGCATACATTTAGTTTTACTGGAATATTTCTGTGTTCATTTACCGCATTTGTAGTAATACATACAAAATTAATTATTCCCAGAGATTATATGACCTGCAAATCACAGGTGTTTTATAGAAAAAGATTGCTCATCCCTGACTTAGAGTTTTTGTTTGTCTTATTGTTGATATATTTCAAGATTTCTTTCTGTTTTAGGATGAGGGTGGTGGTGGGTAGAGTTTTTTAGCTTCCTTTTCCTTTACTGGTATCTCTAATTTTGATAAGACAATTCACAATGAGTCTATTTTATAGTTTTTTTTTTTTAATAGGTTTAATCGTACCTGAGCAGAGCAAAGGGTTGAAAACTATTGACATCTTCATTTATGTAGTGGTCGTTATAGATATGTTTTGCTATTTTTCTTTTGTGAGTTTAAATAAAATGTGTCTTAATTTCCTTTTTATGGATATCCCCTTTTGTAGGAAATTAAACGAGACACAGATTCCAAGGATGACAATTTACCCATCAAACGGGAAAGGCATGGAAATGTAGCAAGTCTTGTGCAAMGAATAAGTACCTATGGACTTCCAGCCGGAGGAATTCAGCCACATCCACAAACCAAAAACATCAAGAAGAGTATGTAAATAATTCCTTTCTTGATTAATTACATCAAAAGAGGATATTTCATAACCGTTGATAAATTCAGAAAAATTGGTTTAACCTTCTGCAGCCAACTAGAGTAACTTTTAACTTATTATCATGGATTTTTGTCCCTTTTTTTTTTTTCTTGGTATTGAAGATGGAACCCACGTGTACTTTACCACTGAGCTACATCCCTAGTCTTTTTTTATTGTTTATTTTGAGAYAGGGTCTCCCTAAGTTGCTGAGATGCTAAGTTGCTAAGAGTCTCATTACCAAGTCTGACTTTGAACTTGTGATCCTCCTGCTTCACCYTCTGAGTCTCTGCGATTACATGTCTGCTGCAACCATACCTGGCAAAGTTTTTTCTTCTGGATGCTGATAATGATAATAAAGATTTTCTAAGATTCTAAGTGTCTAAATTAAGTAAAATATGTAGTATCTTCTTGAGCGGCTTTATTTATTTATTTATTTAGAGAGAGAAAGAGAGAGAGAAAGAATTTTAATATTTATTTTTTAGTTTTCGGCGGCCACAACATCTTTGTATGTGGTGCTGAGGATCGAACCCCGGCTGCAYGCATGCCAGGCGAGGGCGCTACCGCTTGAGCCACATCCTCAGCCCCTCTTGAGCGGCTTTAAACTTTTATGGTCTAAGTATTTTAAAATTTTTATTCCTAAAGAAGCGAATTCTTGGGGCTGGGTTTGTGGCTCAGTGGTAGAGTGCTCGCCTAGCATGCATGAGGCACTGGGTTCGATCCTCAGCCCCACATAAATGTAAAATAAAGATAACGTGTCCACTTAAACCTAAAAAAAAAAAAAAATAAATAAAAATAAAAAAACAAATAAACGTCTTTAAAAAAAAAAAGAGAATTCTTAAGGATTCAGCCATATGATAAGTGGCTGAATCACTGTTTCCTAATGTTTGATAATTTTCTTTGCTTACTGGAGAAGGAAATCTATTAAAAAGCTTTGACTGATTAAGTGARTTTAAATGCTGGAATAAAACCTGAAGGTATATCTTCGAGGGCCGAATTGAACCAAAAAAGTGAGTCAGAAGTCCTTTTGCTCCTGTCTCTGAAGTTTTAGCATTCAGTCTTAGCTTCATTGTGGGATATGCTTTTTATTTTAGCATTTGATGGAAAGATTAAAAACAGTTTTCTTCAGTGAGATGTAGTTTCATAGTTGAAGACTTAATTATTTGAGTTATTAATATTTAGATATGTTTTAGAATTATTAATATTTAGGCCTGAAATACATAACCATTATTGATGCCATCTGTTTGAAAATTAAGGATTTTTTGTTTTTATAGAGAAAGAATAAAGAAAGTAAACATCCTTCAGAGTGAAGTTTCACACACTTGGTTTTTATTTATTTATTTTTAGTTATTGATGAACCTTTTTAAAATTTATTTTTATACATGTGGTGCTGAGAATTAAACCCAGTGCCTCACATGTGCTAGGCAAGCGCTGTTAACACTGAGCTACAACCCCAAACCCACACACATTTGGTTTTGTTTTTCAAAAATGACAAAAAACTTTTTAAAAAAGTATTATAAGAATTTTAAAAAGTGTTTTCTGAAACTTTTTGATTACTATGTACTATTCAGTACATAGTATGAATGCCTAAATATATGTGGGTATATTACCATGAGAAGTRGTGTTGTTCTAGGCAGTTAAATCTGCCAAATAAGGTGGGTATGGATCATGATTCAGAACTTAAAGTCTGTTAGGGGCAAACTTCAAGTTACTATAACATAGGGATGATGGTAATAATTATCTCATAGAATTTTAATATTAACATGTTAAGTAATTATTATAAGTGCTTGGAATGTTTGTAATTATTGTTTTATGCTTTAAAGAACTATTAGAATTTTAGATTAGAATTTAACATGTAACATGCAGTGATCCATTGTTTGCTACATGCTGTAGTAGAAATAGAAATGGTTTAGAAGTGGGGATATCAGAAGTGAGTATTTTAGTTTTGCCTCATTTTAGCCCTATGGTGTTTGACAGATTATTTAACTTCTGAGTTTTTTTTTTTTTTATTGGTTAAGTAATGAAAAGTTTTTATGTGTTGTTGTATGGGAGATGTTTTATGAAAGACTTTAAATAGTGCTGATACATACTATAAGGACATGAAATGTTTCTACCTTTGCTGTACCTCCTTTAACCTCATTTTAGTTAATATTAATAGCTTTACTTATAAAATATTGATTTAAAAATTCTTTTACCGGGCTGGGGGTGTGGCTCAAGCGGTAGCTCGCTCGCCTGGCATACGTGCGGCCCGGGTTCGATCCTCAGCACCACATACCAACAAAGATGTTGTGTCCGCCGAGAACTAAAAAAAATGAATAAATATTAAAAATTCTCTCTCTCTCTCTCTCTCTCTCTCTCCTCTCTGTGTCTTAAAAAAAATACATATATAAAAAAATTCTTTTACCATTAATTTCTTTGTAGCTCTGAAAAGCTGTATGGATGTTTTTATGATAAGAAAATGGTTATTTTAAAAATTTGACTTAAGTTCATTCATCTTTTTTGACAATTTGCTTTTGTATTTGTTTTTTTCCCCTTTTGTGTTTATCACAGGTTCTGATCCATTTTAAAATTAATAATTGATCAATATATATGGGTAGACACTGTGCAATTTATAATCTGAAAAATCCAAAATTCCTTTAATTATCTGCCAATTAAATCAATGGTTGAATTCAGTATGCTGGCAACTCAAGAGTGAACCCATAATGCAAATATGAAATTATGTGAAAAAAACTTTAAACCGCTCACATTTAATAGTAATAATAGGAGCTATGTAGGTGTTTACTATTCATTGTGACATGTTTTCTTTGAAAAATGAAAAATTCCTTTGCAAATTATTCTACAAGCTAATCTAAAACTCATACCTAGTATGGAAGGAAAAATACAAGTCTTGTTTAAAATATGACTAGGTTCCAAGTTAATTGACACTCCTGGGGTTAATTTTTTTAGGAAGAAGGAAAAACTTGTGGAGTTTTAACTATTTAGAGACTCAATTCATTCTAGTTGATTGTCATGTCTGTTTTACATACGGTTGATTGTATGTAATGTTTCTTTTGAGGTGGGGGTTTGGTTAGACTTTTTTTTTTCCTTCTTGATAAATAATTTCATAGATCTATAGAATGTAAGAGAATGAAATAACTCTAATGGTTATCCAGTTCATCTCTCTTGTTCTCGTACCCTCTCTCCCTTTCTGTCTTTAAATGGGTTAGGAAACTGATTCTAAAGAATTTAGGTGAATTAAAAATATTATGTCAACTTTATCTTCTGATTTTCAAACCAATGATATTCTGTTGTAGGGTCACAGCCCCACCCCTCTCGCTCTCTATGTTTGTAGTACTGTGAATTGAATCCAGTGCCTTGTGCTTGCTGGACAAGCGCTCTATCATTTGAAATACATCCCAGCCACTCCTACCCCTCCCACCTCGCTTCTTTTTTTGAGACTGGGTCTCACTAATTTGCCCAGGCTAGTTTCCAACTTGTGATTTCTCTGCTTTAGACTCTTCCATATTTTCTCCAGGTCAGACCTGTTCATTCCTTTAGTTTTTGGAATTTTTTTTTTTTTAAAGAGAGAGAAGAGAGAGAGAGAGAGAATTTTTTAATATTTCTTTTTCAGTTTTCGGTGGACATAACATCTTTATTTTATTTTTATGTGGTGCTGAGGATCGAACCCAGTGCCCCCCACATGCCAGGCGAGCACATACCGCTTGAGCCACATCCCCAGCCCAGGAATATTTGTTGTTTGCACTAAATATTTTACCATTTGCAAGTACATCACTAATTGTTGAGGTCTTTAAGTGTATATTTAAATTGTTAAGATAAATATTGTCAGAATTGTGGGTGATAGATTGCTGATGGAATGTAGTCACTTGGAATATTATTTATTTATTTATTTATTTATTTATTTTTAGTTGTAGTTGGACACAATACCTTTATTTCACTTACTTATTTTTATGTGGTGCTGAGGATCGAACCCAGGACCCTGCATGTGCGAGGCGAGCACTCTACTGCTGAGCTACAACCCCAGCCCCTAACACTTGGAATATTATTAATTGGCACTGATACCATATGGTTAGGTGCTTGTTGATTAATTCATTCAAAAAGATTTATTGGATACTACTCTGGGTTGAATGATAGTCCCCTCCAAAATTCAGGTTGAAACTTAATTTCTATTGTTGTGGTTTTAAGAGGTGGGCCTTTTGGAAAATGATTAATTCATAAGGGGTCTGCCTTCATGAATTAATTAATGCTTTATAAAAGGTCCAGAGGGAAGTAGTTTTGATCCTTTTATTGCCTTTCCATTTTTTGCAAAGTTGAGGATTGTGTAACAAGAGGGCCCTCATCAGACATGAAACTTTCTGGCACTTTGATTTTGGACTTCTGAGCCTCTAGAATTGTGAGAAAAAATTTCTACCCTTTATTTCACTGTTCTTAGGTATTTTGTAATAGTTATATTGTTAGGAGATGTCCATTACTAACAATGCCCATTACTCTTATTTAGCCTCTAGAGTAGAGGAGGATACTCAAAAGAAATAAGTTCAGTGTGATAGCCTGAAAAGAAAAAAGGTGAATTTTCAATCACAGGTAGGTTGCAGAATCCAATAGGATAAAGTACATGAAACTACAGAAGTGCAAAGAAGAGTACATAATTCATAAAGATGGGTGGAGGTTAGTGTTTCATAGCTGAGAACTGAAGATGAAGACAGAGTGAGGTTTATGGATGAAAATAATTGGTTCTTGGCAAGAAAAGTATTTAAATATTAGAAGGAATATGATATGCCATTTTCCAGAAATTAAGGATGAGCATGTTGGTCAGCTTTCTTGTTTCTGTGACCAAAAGACCAAACAAGAACAACTTAGAGGAGTAAAGATTTCTTTTGGCTCCTGGGTTCAGAGCTCTGGGCCTGAGATGAGGCATAGCATCAAGGCATGATAGAGGAAAGCTGCTCAGTTTATGGCATCCTCCAAAGAGAAAAAAAAAAAGGAACATGGAACAAAATTAAGTTTCAAGGACATGATTTTAGTGACCTAATTCCTCCAATCATGCACCATTGATATTATTATCCATTAAATGGATTAATCCACTAAATGAATCTATTAAATGGATTAGCCCAGTAATGAGATTAGAGCATCATGATCTAATCATTTCCTTTAAAGCCTCAACTCTGGACATTGCTGCATTACCTTCATTACATGAGCTTTTAGAGAGGACATTTCAGATCTGTGTTGAAACAGTCAGGATAACTGGATCACTGAGTGGAAGACTAAGTGACTCAGTTAAAGTACTTATTTGAATTTATTCTTCTAGGGTTGCCATAACAAAATACCACAAACTAGCTGACTTGAATAGTAGAAATTTTGTAACATTTTTGAAGATTTGAAAGTCTTAAGATCAGAGTACCCCTGGGGTTGGTTTTTGGTGATTGTCTCTCCACCTGGCGTGTAGAGGTCACCTTCTTACTGTTTTTTCACATGARTCCCTTTCTGCTGAGGGGTGGGCTGATGTCTGTTCTTCTTTTAAAAGAATACAAGTCCTTTCTGATACCAGTCCTTCCCAATTAGGGCTCCATCTGTATGGCTTATCTTAACCTTAATTACCTCTCAAAAGACCGTGTTCACCAAATGCACGTTGGGAGCTAGGACATCAATATATAAATTTTAAGGGAGACACAATTCAGTCCATAACATACGGCTCTGGAGTAGGTAATAACTATTGCTGATCTGAGGAACATATTTTGGATAGCAAGAATAATCACTTAATCAGTTACACCTGGTTGTCTACCCATACCTGCTTAACGATTCACTTTTTWAAAAAATTATTCTTAAGTTTTAAGTGGATACAAAATCTTTATTTTATATTTATGTGGTGCTGAGGATCGAACCCAGTGCCTCATGTATGCTAGGCAACCACTGTACCACTTAGCCAAACCCCAGCGCCACAATTCACCTTTAAAGATGAGAGTGAGTCTGAGTTTTCAATTCTTGGAGCTTGAAAGAAGCATATAAGTCTGGAACATTATAAATGATCATGTTTTGAATAAGTGAAACTTGTAGAATTATTTTTGTCTTCACTTATGTGTTTAATTTTTATTTGTCAGAAAATAAGAGATATTGAAAAAGCTAAAACATTCTAGGTTTGTACATTTTGCCTCTTTTTACTGAAGACACTCTTCAAAGTAGCATATTTTAAATATTCTTAGGCTTTGATCAGGAAGTAGTTTGAAAATCACTGGCCTGGAGGACTTATGATAAAATTTTTGGGTCAAAATGTCATTGTTTGTTTTTGTTGTCTTAAAATTAGATAATGGATGTTTTGCTTTTGTGTAATTAGTGGGATCAGATAATATAAATTAACACCATTGATGGCAACTTTGTACCTTATATATAGTTGAATCTATTTGGGAATGAATACATTATGTCATGGGGGCAGAGTTAAAAATGTCAACTAGGGCTGTTTTTGGTTAGCTTCTTAGAATACTCATATATTCTGTCTGATTCATCCTTATAGGTCCTCTGATGATAAACATTTAAACAAAGATACTGTTTTTAGAACTCATCTTTCTTAAACTAATTTTTTATTGTTACTTCCTGTAGAGACCAAGAAAAGGCAGTGTAAAGTTCTTTTTGAGTACATTCCACAAAATGAGGATGAACTGGAGCTGAAAGTGGGAGATATTATTGATATTAATGAAGAAGTAAGTATAACATATGTTAGCACCCTTAGCAGAACCTAAACATTTAAAACAATTATGAACCTGGCATGGTGGTACATGCCTATAATCCTAGCAACTTGGGGGGGTTGAGGCAAGAGAATCACAGGTTCAAAGCCAGCCTCAGTAACTTAATGAGACCCTGTCTCCAAAACAACAACAACAACAACAATAATGTATATGAAATATTTTATTAAATGGTTTTGTGGAAATTGAGTAACCTTGTTAACTACTGAGTGTAAATATTTTTCTAAAGAATTTGATTTATAAAGATTTCAGTTTGGAGGGGGTGTTTAGTAGGGTGATTATGAATATTTAAAAGTAAGTGATTATCATACTTTATGGTTAAGAATCATTGTTCAAGTATAGGGTTAGTATTTTTTTTGTTAGTAATCAAACTTTTTCTAAGTTAAAATTTTTCTAAATATCTTAAATAATGTATGTCATAATTATACACCAAGGCCCAGTAATTTTTAAAAGAATGACATTCTAAAAGAGACCTATGTACTTATTGCTATTGATACATAATACTTGATTATCTGATATTTTCATAAAAAATAATTTACTTCATAGGTTGTGATTGATTACATATTTGCATTGTAAATATTTTAAAGGACAATATTAGTTCCATATATCCATTTAGATTTAATATATTTTCCCCCTTTTATCTTAAAGGCTGTATTTTGTTTCATTAACTTTGTTCTTGTGTTTCGTAGCTTAGGTTTTCATAGGCTAGAAAGGTTTTTACTTAAAAGTAATTTTTATCATTTTTAAGTTGTGGACTCTTTCAGGTAGAAGAAGGTTGGTGGAGTGGAACCCTGAACAATAAGTTGGGACTGTTTCCCTCAAACTTTGTGAAAGAATTTGAAGTGACAGATGATGGTGAAACTCATGAAACTCAAGAGGATTCAGGTAGACTCTTTTTTAAAAAAATTGAATGAATTATTTATTTTGTAATTTTTCATCTGTATTCTGACTAATTTTTGAACTCTGAGTTAGATGTAGGTAATCTGCTTTTAATGAGAATAAAGGTGAACTAAATAGCTTACATCAAATAATTTTAATATTTAATTTCGTCTTTGATCTCTACTTCATGCCTTTGTTATACTRATGAAAAATGCTATTTATGTTATCTGTTCTTTCTACTTAAGATTTATTTATGTAAACTTTTAAACTGCTGAGTTTGGAAATGGCCTGTGTAATACTTGAGGTAATTTGGAAATTAAAAAATCTTACTTTCATTGTTTTCCATATTCACAAGATAGATTTTGTTTTTCTTGTGCAGTCAATTGTCATTTTATTATTATTTTTTAAATTTTTGTCATTTAGAGATGGATGCACACAGATTGAGAAAATTTTACTCCAAGCTAGATTTAAATTTTGTGATCTATAAAAGTGGTAATTCAGGAATATGTAGATCTTTTTCTTGATGTGGAAAGTTCATGTAGTGAGAATTATCAGGGATTTATGGTTGTACTAACTAGTGTTATGTGGCAATTTTATGATTACATAGATTCATAGATAGTAAGGGGTAGGCTACAGCCTTAAGGTTGTCAGGATCACTGATTCTTTTCAGAGCCAGTGTAATACCAAGGTATAAAAAGTACATATTAAAAACAATGACATGATATGGTAAGATTGCTTAGACTTATGTAATGCACCTGACACTTTACATTGTATYGCATCAATACACTAGTATTATAAATCTCTGTATAGATCTACTAAGTTTTTGGGCTTCCATGATGGCACCTATTTCTTAGTTATCTTTGCTTAATTGAAATGTCTTTGTTTGCAAGACAGAAGTAACAGTTTTTTCCTGAAAGAGTTATTGTGTGGATTGACAAGATACTTTCCAAACATAATACTTTCTTTTGTCAGGACAACTTTCAATGTTTTATAAGTAGATGAGCAAACATTTTGAGATTAAGTAAGAAAATTTTATAGGGTTGTTTTTATAGAAAATGGATTTATAAATCTCAGTGGCAAGGGAATAAATTTTAGAGAAAAGAAACCCAAATCATAAGTTTACATTTAATAGATGATAGCATTAAACATAATTGATAAAAGGGATCTACAATTAATGGTTAAGATTACTTCAAAAATTAATAAATTAATGTGTTCTGTTTGTGTTCAGCCATTTTAGATCTTTTTTTGTTTTTGTTTTTTTTGGCAGTGATGGGGATTGAACTMAAGGCCTCACACATGCTAGGCAAGTGCTCTAGCTCTGAACTACACCCAGTTCTTTTTATTTTGAGACAGGTTCTCTCTCAGTTGCCAAGCCTGACCTCAAACTTGTAAACCTCTTCCCTCAGCCACCAGAATAGTTGGTATTACAGATGTGTACCACTGAGCCAGTATTTCAGCATGGTTTTATTGATGTTTTTTCTCCCTGATTGTTGAACAGTACCACACAGTTTATTTTTCATGTTTCTTTAACTAGACTAATTTCTTAGCTTTTTTTCTGTTTTTCTTGACAGATTTTAGAGTTAAGGCAATTTATTTTGTAGAATGACTCCTACTTGGGATTTTCTTCTAATGCATCATTAGATTTAGATAGTATTTTATTGGCAGAACTACAGAGTTATGTTTCTTGACATTATATTGGAAGACAGTGATGTCTGACTTTTATAATTGGTGGTGTTAAATTTTATTAAAATTTAATTGTGAATTTAGTTAAAACAGTGCTGCCAGTATAAATAAGTTYACTGTTTTTCTCCATATATTTAAGTGTTTTGTAGGAAAACACTTTGAATCTATACAACACTGTTTCTCATTAGACTTTTATCCAAAGTTACAGCATTATAAATAAATTTTGCCTGAATCAGTTATTATTCTCATGGTTGCAAACGGGTCATTTTATGACTCTGTCATCCCTTTGATTTTATTCTCTAGAGTTACTTTTCTTTGTCTTCAGCTTACTTATTTATCACTGTGGACTATTTAGTGAGTTCCATTTATTCACTCACCATCAATCTATAACTAGTATTTATTTTTTATATAGGGGATTGTACCACTGACCTATATTCCCAGGCCCCCTTTAAGTTTTTTATTTTGAGACAGGGTCTTACTAAGTTGCTTAGTTCCTGAGGCTGGTCTTGARTTTGTTACTCTCCTGTTTTAGTCTCCAAAGTTGCTGGAATTATRGATAGGTATATGCCACTGTGCCTAGCCAGCAATATTTATTTTGACATCCCTCATATATGGCCATTGTGACCTTTTAACTTTCTTGGAGGTATAATTTACATAGAATATGTTTGTCCCTTTAAAATATACAGGTTGATGAGTTTGACAGATGTGAGATGTGTACATGCATAGAAAGCACCACCCCACAAAATAAATATACAGAACATTCTGTCACCTCCAAAATATCCCCCTGCTTCTTTGCAGTCTGTCTTTTTCTCTCCTTGTCTCTAGGCAATGATGGATCTGCTCTTTTTTGTTGTTGGTGTTATTGTAGTCATTTTAGTTTGCATTGCTATGTCCTTTTGACATTTCTCAATTATTTTTTGAAGATGTCCTTACTTTGCAATACGGGATCTTCCATACTAAGTTTGAACTTTACTTTTCCAATCCTTGAATCAATGATTTATCAAGGCAACCTTGGTTTCTTTTAGAGAGGAAGATCCAGGACAAGATCTAGGAGGTGGTGTGCTCATTTCTACTTGGAGTGATGTTACTTTGAGGCCATCTTAGTGGACTAAGCTGGGGAATGCCTACACACACAGACTTCTACCTCTCTATCTCTGTTAAATAAACAATTTAATAGCATATATTATGTTCTGATTTCTCTATAGATGTGTGAAATGAGTAATTGAGTTTGCTTTACTTTTAAAGGAATTTAGTTTTTCTTATGAGTTTTAGTTATCAATACTTTGCAAGTCACAATTATATTGCCTATGTCTGTTTACTTTTTGGCTTAAAGCTGTCATATATTAGGCTTGAAAGGATAAATGTTTAAAAGGCAATATTTTAATTTTTCTGTTATTTGATGTGTACAAAAAAACCAACATGAATTAATGTTATTGATTAGATATTATGTTCCCTAAAAGATCATACATGAGACAACACAAGGACATTTCAGAGGTGAAATGATAAGATTATGAGAGCCTTATTCCAGTCAGTGAATTAATTCCTGATGGGGATTAACTGATAACTGAAGGCAGGTAGGGTGTGGCTAGAGGAGATGGGCACAGGAGTGTGCCTTTGGGGTACATATTTTATATCTGGTAAGTATAGTCACTCTCTGTTTCCTAATGTGATATCTTGAGCTCCTTTCCTCCACTACAGTTTTCTTCCATGATGTTCAGCCTTACCTCAAGTCCCAAGTAATGGAGCTGGTTTTCTATGGACTGAGACCTCTGAAACTGTAAGCTCCCACATAAACTTCTCCTCTAAAATTTTTCTTGTCAAGTCTTTTAGTCATAGCAGTGGAAAAGTTGACTAAAACAATTCATTTTCTAAAATATTTAGAAGAGACCTCTTAGCATTTTAGAAAATGACAAAGAAAAAATGTTACTTAGTACTTTCATAAAATACTGTTGATTTGTTCTAGGAAATAGACAGTAAATAATAGATATTATAATAATAAAGAGTTAGGAATAATGGGCGTGGTGGCTCATGCCTGTAATCCCAATGGCCTGGGAGGCTGAGGCAGGATGACTTCGAGTTCAAAGCCAGCCTCAGTAACTTAGTGAGGCTCTAAGCAACTCAGTGACACTGTGCCTCTAAATAAAATACAAAAAAGAGCTGGAGATGTGCCCCAGGGGTTAAAAACCCCTTGGTTCAATTCCTGGTACCCCCTGCCCCCCCCCAAAAGAGGAATAATGAATGAGATCTTGAGAAAAAAATTGCCATTAAATTATAAATAATACCTGCTTTTCAGGAAAGGAGTTAATTGTAGTAATAATGAATAAGTAATAAAGTTAACATGTAAATTAGTTTGAATAGTTTTAAATACTGTGTTTTTTAGAATAGCACATATAACCTAAGAAAGAAGTGGAGGACATTTTAATCACGTGAATATTTCTTAAGCCTTTTGCAATCTAAGTTCTATGCTGGTTTTGTGAAGGGACAAATCTCTCTGTGATCCAGAGGTTTAAGCTCTACATTTCTGGTGGATAAGACTRATAGCAACTAAATAAACTTAGATAATAGAGTAAAATGATTTAATTTACCCTAAATAGGCATAGGGAATTTGTGGGGCAGATCTAAAAACTGTCAGTTTATTTTGCTTAATTTGCAGATTTTTTTTTTCATCTTAGAAATATCCCAGGAAACATTAGAAATCTAATCAATAGTGCTCACTCCAGCTATTTAAGCTTAGAGGTTATTTTCCAAAATCTTGTTTTTTCCCTCTTCTAATTGTTCTTTTCTTTATTTCTCTTATTATCCTCTGTGCAATCAGTCCCCCAAACCATTTCTAATCGTGATAAACAACAAAAATTTGTCATCTTAACAGTTTTTAAGTGTCAGTTCTAGCAATGTTAGGTATATTCACATTGTTTGCAACAGATCTAGAAATTTTCATTTTAYAAAACTGTAAATTTATACATCAAGGAAAGGTAACTCACCATTTTTCCCTGTCCTGGACCTTATTAATCATCATTCTACTTTCTGTTTCTATGAAATTGATTACTTCAGATTTGTCATACAAGGAAATAATACAGTTTTTGTCTTTTTATTTCATGTAGTCTGATATTTTTCAGATAATCCATGTCGGAGTATTTGACAAGATTTCCTGTTTTTAAAAGGTTGAACAATATTCTGTTGTATATCCGTGTTACATTTAAATATATTCACTCATCTTTCAGTGGTATTTGAGTTGCTTCCTCCTCTTGGCAGTTATGAATAATGCTGAATGAACATGGGTGTGCAGAAGTCCTTTGAGACCCTGCTTTCAAGTGGAATATACC